AGACTTCTATTCACCATATCCTCATCAATCCCAGCTCTCTCAATCCTGGCCAGAACTACCAGTATAGATGTTACCCAACTTATTCCACTAGGCATTTGAGTTCAGAGTCCAGCTATAAAGGCTCTACTGTAGTTGAAGCCAGGTATGTGAAATGCAAATATGCCTTGGGGACTCATATTTTATGGTATTACCAGTTATTACTTTAGATATCAGTTAACATGCCAAAAGGCATGTTATACCTGACATTAAACTAGGACGGAAATGGAAATAGGTTTTTAGGAATACACATTAGGGGAGAAGGGCAGGGACAGGTAAGCTTGAAAAGAGGGAGTATTAAAAAGATTCTAGGAGGTAAGAAAGGTACTGACAAAATAGGTAAGATAAATGTCAAATTAATTTTCTAATTTTGCTTAATGGTGCTCCTAGTCATGCCACTCAAAAATCATCTTGTGATACACATAAACCTATTTTATGCTGGGTATTGTACAGATCACTTTACATATAGGATTGCTCATTCTAAGGACAATCCTGCAAGATATGTAGGATCAGCCCTTCTTACAGATGAGGAAAGAAGTTTAGGGACATGAGTTCCTTCTCTAAAATCACATAGGTAGGAACAGGCAGAGCCAAGATTCAAACCCAAAGTCTTCGCTCTTTTCACCACACAAGCCTGACTACAGACCACAGATCCATTTCCAAAGTTTGTTTTCCTCTAGCTATAGCTCTCTTTGTCATCCTTCAGCTGGCAATATTGTGAAGGCCTCCAGTGAAACAAGTCAGGGCACTGAACAGTGGCACGTCAGGTTAGAAAGGTCTTCCTTTCTCAATTTCCCTGTGTTGCCTATCTCTGGCTTCCCATCATTTGCTGAATTGTTTTGTCAAATGCTTAGATACTATGGTAACTGGTGCAGAGTAAATAACTAATGTTGTTATGGCAACCATAAAACATGCCTCTGAACTTGTCTCTTATAAACATACAACATTTATGGCCTAGTGATTGTCAGGGTTTGAAGGGAAGGAAAAATGGGGAATGACTGCTAATGGGTACATGGTTTCTTTTTGGGGAGATAAAATGTTCTGGAATTATTAATATATATTGATGATGGTAGTACAACTTTATGAATATACTAAAACCATGAGACTATACACTTTAAAAAGGTGAATTTTATGGTATGCAAATTACATTTCAATTTTACAAACCTGTGGCTATAATCAAAGTCAGATATTAATGAGTATTGGCAAAGATGTGGAGAAACTGTAACCCTCATACATCACTGGTGGGACTGTAAAATGGTGCAGTGGCTTTGGAAGAGAGTTTGGTAGGTGCTCAAAGAGTTAAGCATAAAGTTACTGTATGATCCAGCAATTCTACTCCTAGCAATATAGAACCAAGAGAAATAAAACATATGTCCACACAAAACCATGTACACAAATGTCCATAGGAACATTATACATAATAGCAAAAAAGTAGAAACAACCCAAACACATATCAGGTGATGAATGCATAAATGGAATGTGGTATATCCATGCAATGGAATATTTGGCCATAAAAACAAAGTATTGATACATGCTACAACATGTATCATGAAAACATTATGTTAAATGAAAGAAGCTCATCACCAAAGACCATCTATTATATGATTCCATTGATATGAAATGTTCAAGAGGGGAGAAGAGGATGAAAGATTATAATGTATTTATTATCACTGAACTGCACACTTAAAAATGGTAAAGTTGATAAATTACATATGTATATTTTACCTCAATAAAAAATAAACAAAAACAAAAAATTTTTTTAAAAAGAAAAATGTTGGGCCCAGTGGGGTGGCTCACGCCTGTAATCCTAGCACTCTGGGAGGCCAAGGCGGGGAGACCGCTCTAGGTCAGGAGTTAAAACCAGCCTGAGCAAGAGCGAGACCCTGCCTCTACTAAAAATAGAAAGAAATTAATTGGCCAACTAAAAATATATAGAAAAAATTAGCTAGGCATGGTGGTGCATGCCTGTAGTCCCAGCTACTCAGGAGGCTGAGGCCAGGAGTTTGAGGTTGCTGTGAGCTAGGCTGATGCCATGGCACTCTAGCCTGGGCAACAGAGACTCTGTCTCAAAAAAGAAAAAAAAAGAAAGAAAAAGAAAAATGTTCAGAGTAGGCAAATTTATAGAAAAAGAAAGCAGATTAATGAATGGTTGCTTAGGGCTGTGATGGTTCAGTGGAAATGAGAAGTGAGCACTAATAGGTATGGAATCTTTGTGTGGTGATAAAAACATACCAAAATTATGACAATTGCACAACTTTGTGAATATACTAAAAATCAATGAACTTTATACTTTAAATGAGTGAATGGTATGTGTGTAAATTATATATTAATAAAGCTGTTAAAAAATTCATGAGCTAATTTCCATTAGTTTTAGGATAATACTTAACCTAAAGCTGTGCCAGTTCTAACTACAGTGAAAACTTGACATAATACAGCTTGAAATCCTGCTTAGTTAACTGTATCAAGGGAATTTAATTCTCCTAAGGGAAAAAAAAGCCCATAATACAATGATACCCTTGGGCTAATTTTAAAGTTTTTGCTGTCTATACAAATGCTGCCTCCAGCAAACCTATACAATCACGTGTCTCCTAATACTATTGCCCTATTATTATAGTATTTTTTTCCAGCCTTTGGACACTTGAAAAATTACTACAAATTAAACTAGGTAAGGGAGCATAAGAGTAAACAAATTTATTTAACTACTCATCTGTAAAATTCTGAAACTCCCTTTACTTAGTATCTGAGAATTTAACATAAAAAAGGAGAGTAAAGATGTCCATGTCTAACTTTTTGCATTATTATTTCTGATATGGAGAATGGAAGCAAGATAAGAAACATATTTAGAAGTATTTTGCAGTATTCCATCTAAAGATGATGCTGAAGTATGGTGGCGGTGGTAAGAAACAGACCAACTTGAGAGATCACATGAACATACAATCACTTAGACTTGGTGACCGGACATGCATTGAGACAGGACAGGCTGAAGCAAATGCTCAGGGGTGGGGTCCTAGCAAGTAAACTCTGAGGAAAGCTCCCCAGGCAATCCTAAAGTTTCTTCCCATTCTAAATCCCTTCCATATCTAGAAAGGAATGATTCCCTCCCAAAAGAATCTTTCCATTCAGCTTAAAATTCTTGAGTCTACTCAAACTTGCTCTTTCTTTAAATTTAACAGCAAAACTTAAAGGCAAAAATGTACCCCTTAAATACAAAAACTCTATATAGATGCACTAGAGGCAAATCACCAAATTTTTTTTTCAAATTTTTATTTTATATTTTTTTAATCTTTTTTAGTTCTTTTCTCTCTTTTTACAAAGTCACTGCCATTGAAACCAAATTTTAATTGAATATGAACTATACCATCTCCATTCAAAAATTTACAATTTAAAAAGGGATTTTATAGATTTATATAGATGAACATCATTATTATACAGATGAAGACAATGAAGTAGAGAATGGTTCAGTTTTACCATGTGACCCAGAATCAGAAGATTTGAACTTAGGTTTTAGAACTCCTGATTCTGTTTTCTTACACTTTTTAAACTCACTTTATATAAGATACGTAAAATAATGTTTAAAATCAGCTGTATAAAGATTATCCCTACGTTTTATAAATCAAATATTTCAAATGCATTAGGGGATGGTAATTCTACACATATCTTTTTATTAGATAACAAATACCAATAACTTCAAATTACATACCTACAGAAACAGGAATAAAGACTGGGATGGGAGAAGCAAAAGGACCTATAATCTTGAAACTGACATTGCTTATAGCTATCAGTTGCAACTAGTTATCAGTTTTTAAAAACATCACGAAATCAGATTAGAAAGGCACGGTCAATTTGCCCTTGAATGATAGCCATAATATAAACCAATTTCTATACAAATAGCACTGTATATATCATCTGCTTAACCTTATATCTTTTAAGAAAATGATTTCATATCCCTTGTCAAAAATTATTTTAAGTTTACTAAGCAAAAAACAAAGGGATGTGAAAAGCCAAATAATGAATTGCATTAAAAAGTTATCAAATTACCTTATTTAATAAATACGGACTAATTTATAGAAACTGGAAAGTTTTATATTTTACTCCAAAAATAAAATAAGATATGGATAGTGACTATGTTTCTATTAGCCAAAGAAGTAGAAGAGAGCAGAAGATGAGAGGAGACATTCCACTTTGTTCACTGGAGATTTATGCAAATCTGTTGGCTTGCATAAAGCCGTGCTACACTAAGGAGTCCAGTCTAGGACATACCAGAAGCCCAGTCCCACATGTTTCTGATCAAAAACCACCAGAGGCTGCATTTTCCCAAGAGTGCCCTGTGATTAAGGCAGAAAACTCCATAGCTCTAAACTTTAACTGCCAAACTATATACCAAATAAGAAATACTCTGAATTACTTTGTAACCAATGTGATACAGATCATTAATACCAGATGTCTTATTCAACACTAGTGTAATATGTATATTAATATATGTTCTTGTATATTATTCACCCACTGAAGGAAATGGAATGATCCTATGAAGAGGTCATCTTAGCACATAAACTCACAGGTTGGAGATCAAAGCCACAGTGATGACAAAAGGAAATTTTAAAGGCTAATATTGGTAAAAAATGACCTACTTTATAAAAGAAAGAGATTATATATATTTAAAGTACATAGTGTGAAAATACGTACGACAAATGTCTCAGCACTGTTTATTATATTAAAGGCTGGGAACAGCCATAAGGAAGTCATTAAATAAATTATGTTACACCCATACAGTGGAACACTGTGGAGACAGATCACATGCACATGTGATGGAATACCACACAGTTGGATCTACATGTGCTCTTGTGGAACTAGATCCAGGATATACTAAGAGAAGAAAAGTAAAAGGCAGGACAGTATACACAGTATGGGAAGGGAAGGAGGCTTATTTTTAATCAATTAAAGAAAAGGATAATTTTTTTAAATACCTGGTGGTATCTTCTTAGTAATGCCTTTTTTGCTTCTTGGACTTCTTTTTCCAGGTATTATTTTGTCCGTTCCCAAGAAAGCCTGTCCATCTTTGGGGTCTTCACAAGGAGTGTTTTCTGAGTTCTCACTTGCAGCTACCTCACAGCTTGACGTGCAGCTTTCATTATTGTTAAGACTGTCCTGCTCACACACTTTGGGTTTTCCCATTCCGCTGTCTCTGCTGGTCAGACGCTCAGGCCCTTCCCCATCAAGTTGATTTTCATTTTCATCTGATGCAGAAGGCAGGTGTGTTACACTCCTTTCCACACTGTCACCACCAGGATGACACCCATCTTGTGGTTCAATTTGCAGATTGTATGTAGGAGTATCACTGTCATCCATTAGAGCATCCTTTGTCAAACCGTTTAATGTTTCACTAAAGTCCTTCCATGTCTACAAGGACAAAGAGAAAAAAAGCTACTTCATTTTCTAACCTCTGTGGATTCTCCGTGATCTTCGATTTTCCTCTTCTTTTGGGTTGTTTCACTGTAGATAAGGAAGAGAAGGAAATGACTGAAGTTCATTCCTACTCCCCTTTTACCTCTTGCAACCCAATCCCAAACTCAGCTAGTTCTTACTTGAATACAATGGTTCTTACACCTGGCTCCGAGTTAGAATTACCTGGGGAGGCTGCCCAAATTCTATTCTAGACCCACTAAATCAGAATCTCTGAGGATGGAGGCCAGGCCCCTGATATGTGTGTGCGTGTGTGTGTATACACACACACACATACACACATATATATTTTTTAAGTTTTCTAGGTGATTATTCTAATGTGCATCGGTTTGGGACCACTGCCTTAATAAAATTACTGGTTAAATAGGTTATTTGCTAAAATCAATCACTTAGGTTATCCCTGGACACTTATTACACAAGTGAAAGTCCTTTGGCTAAACAGCAGCAATATTTACAAATGAAAAATTTAAAGATTAAAAAAAAAACTGAAAGAGGCACGTAGGGGAAAATTAAGGTAGCATATTTTTACACTATCATCATAATTTTTACATGACAGGATCTTGCTCAGTTGCCCAGTCTGGAGTGCAGTGGTATGATCAAAGCTCACTGTAGCCTTGATTTCCTGGGCTCAAGCAATTCTCCTGTCTCAGTCTGTCAAAGCACTGAGATTACAAGTATGAGCTATTGTGCCCAGCCTATTTATGCTATCATTATATGTTTTGCTTCCTCAAAATAATCCTTTGGGGACCATGATTAACTAACTCTAGGCTATTCAGTACAGAACTGGAAAAATCTAAATCCACTCCAAGGATATAATGTTTTTAAAAGATTTACAAAATATACACTACAGTGGAAATATCCAAAATAAAATAAAAAAAAAAAGATTTACAAAATAGATTGCAAGCCCTTTATCAGCCATCTTTTATCTCCTCTTATCATCTAAAAATACACTACATTTCAAGGAAAATGATGGGTCTGAATCAAATATTCCGGTAATTCTGGAAAAAACTTCAGTGATAGAACTTTTAAAAATTCTTCAAATTCTAAGTAGAAATACTTAATCTTTAGAAACATATAAATAAAATATAATTCTTTAAAAACATGAAAACAAAATACAAAATAAAATATTAACCCTAATCTATTATATATCTCTACTGATCCCATGAAACTGGTAACATCCTCAGTTTTCTTTTCTTTTTTTTGAGCAGAGTCTCACTCTGTTGCCTGGGCTAGAGTGCCATGGCGTCAGCCTAGCTCACAGCAACCTCAGACTCCTGGGCTCAAGCAATCCTCCTGTCTCAGCCTCCCGAGTAGCTGGGACTACAGGCATGCACCACCATGCCAGGCTAATTTCATATATATATATATATATTTTTTTTAGTTGTCCAGCTAATTTCTGTCTATTTTTTCAGTAGAGACAGGGTCTTGCTCTTTCGCAGGCTGGTCTCAATTCCTGAGCTCAAACGATCCGCCCACCTCAGCCTCCCAAGAGTGCTAGGATTACAGGCATAAGCCACCATATGCCTGGCCTGTTTTCTAATTTATGTAATCAAGAGGTATTCTAACATGTATTTGCAGTTGAAAGTATAAGGTTTTACTTTTACCTGCAAAAGATACACAGGTCACATACCAAGGGGTGCAAATGGAAATTACTATAGAGAGCCCAATACTGTAAAATTCACTTCTTGTGTCTCTATCGTGCATCAGAAACTGTGCCAGGAACTTTACACACCTTATTTCTAGTCCTCAAAACAAGCCTATAGAGGGGGTATTTATACTGTGTTTTAGATCGAAAATCTGAAACTCGAAGAGGCAAAATAACTTATCCTGATTTGGGATCCTATGCAATCCAGCATAATGGCTCAGAGCACAGGAAGACCTAGGTTCAAATTCTGGCTCTACCATTTCACAAGCTGTGTGTGCAACCTTAGACAAGTTACTCAGCATCTACAAGCCTCAATTTTCTCATCTGTAAAACTGTAGAATTGTAATACCTAACTTGAAGAGTCATTTTTGAAGCTTAGATAATACTGCATGTAAAGCACTTAGGGGAGAGGTTGGCCTCTAGCAGCTATTCAATAAAAATTATTTTCCAAGAAATCTCACAGATTGACATTAAGCACAGATAGGTTTACTCAAGTGAGTCTCCTTAGCCTTTCTACAGGTTTGGGAACAACTTTTCCATTATGTAGTGGTTCTCAAGGGAAAAAAAGAAAAAAAGGAAAAAAAAGAAACAGCTTTTCCAGACATCCCAGAATCGATCAGGTTCATGTTGAATATTAATTTATGCTGGGGATATCTCATTCAGTCCCTGGAATGCTTAAGTATCCATTCTGAGCACCTTGTTTCAGATAACTAAGATATTTAGCAAGTAGTGATTATGACTCCTTGGTGAGTATAAAATTACAGATCATGTTTGCAGCTTTGTTGAGAGTTATGTGCCAGGCCCCAAGTTAAACTCAGACCAAAACTCAATTCTTACAATTACCTTTACAATTACAATTGCTCTAGCAGATAAGTAATTTTAGTCCTGTTATACTGATGAAGAAACCAAGACTCACCTCAAGTCATTCAGTTTAGAAATAGAATTTAGTAAGTTTAGAAATGGAATTTGGAAAAGTTATAATCCTGAGGCCATCCTCTTAATCACTATGTTCTATGGACAATGGGGAGAGAGTAACTGAATATTTCACTCCAGCTATGTTATGCCACAAGTAAGCATCTACCCTATAGCACAGGACACATCTCTAATAACCAAGAAGTTCAAGCATTTCCAATGAAAATTGTGTCCAAATTAAGAGGTATCATATTTATAAAATATGCACCATATTTAGTTTTAAAATATTTTTATTACTCTCAATCTTATGACAGATTAATATTTCAGTGACTTAGTATGAATACAAAGAATATAAAACTCATTAATAATTTAAAATATTGGTTATATTGAAATATATATTTTAGATATATAGAATAAACTATTATTAAAATTAATTTCACCTTTTAAAAGCTTTTTTAATACACTTACCAGAAAACAAAATTATATATATGGCTCACATATTTCTAATGGACAATGCTGTTCCCTATGACATTGCCTTGACAATGTCAGAGCAGCTAGTATTGGCTCATGGTATATTACTCCATTCCAGATTCTTTACTGATAATACAAGATGTGCTACAGGCATTTTCTGGCTACAGACATTATGATTACTATAGTTAAACAACGTAAATACTTACTGAAGGAAATACATACTATATGGTTTTACAGTTAATTTTTTTTTTTGCTTGAGACAGAGTCTCACTTTGTTGCCCAGGCTAGAGGGAGTGCCATGGCGTCAGCCTAAGTTAATTTGTTTGTATTTGTTTATTTCCAATTTTCAGAATGTAAATCCCAGGGTCATGGTGTCCCTTTTTTTGGGTACTTCCCCATACTCAAAATCTTCATGGCACTTGATAAAAGTTAAATAGTACTGTGATTATAACTAGTAAGATAGCCTTTCAGTAATGTATCTAAATACTTGAATGTCCACCTAAAAGTACAGCACAGAAGCAAATCAGATTATTTTAATATTTCTTTAATAAGAACAGAAAACACAATTTCATAATAAGGAATTAGTTTTTATACAGGAAAGTTCATAGAAGAGAAAATTTATGCTATAAGGTAAGAAAGGAGGATAAAAATGTGACAAAGTATGTAACAAAGCTACAAGAATATAAAAGGAAAATCAAGAAAAATAAATGTGAAGGTAATGATTCTAAGGGATAAAACATAAAATATGGATTTTTCTTTTTGCAGAGAAAGCACTGTTAAAAAAAACGAAATTTACTGAAACTATATGACTCATACACCCTAAACAACCTTGGGGCAGATAAGTTGAATGAAAGGAAACATAATTTGTTTCATTTTCCTCAGTCCTGCCTTTCATAACGGGGCTCAGTTCAAGATAGCTTACACATCTATAAGGCCTTTGAGTTCAAAATCCATTACATAAATGGAAATGACAGGTCAAAAGCCTCATTGTGGCTCTCGCCTGTAATCCTAGCACTCTGGGAGGCCAAGGCGGGTGGATTGTTTGAGCTCAGGAGTTTGAGACCAGTCTGAGCAACAGTAAGACCCCGTCTCCACCAAAAAAATAGAAAGAAATTAGCTGGACAACTAAAAATATATAAAAAAAGGCTGGGCACGGTGGCTCACGCCTGTAATCCTAGCACTCTGGGAGGCTGAGGCAGGCGGATTGCTCGAGGTCAGGAGTTTGAAACCAGCCTGAGCAAGAGCAAGACCCCGTCTCTACTATAAACAGAAAGAAATTAATTAGCCAACTAATATATATAGAAAAAATTATCCGGGCATGGTGGCGCATGCCTGTAGTCCCAGCTACTTGGGAGGCTGAGGCAGGAGGATTGCTTGAGGCCAGGAGTTTGAGGTTGCTGTGAGCTAGGCTGGCGCCACGGCACTCACTCTAGCCTGGGCAACAAAGTGAGACTCTGTCTAAAACAACAAATAAATAAATGAATAAAAAATAAATAAACTGGGGGAAAAACAGTTAACAGACTTATAGGAGATCCACATGTTAGAGGTGGGGAGGAAATAGTATGTTGGGAGCAGGGAGTTGGGAAACATAGAAAAGGTTTAAAATAGCCAACGTGGGAAACTGGAACAATAACTGATTTGGCAACTATGGAATTTAGGGTTTTTCTAACATAGATACAAGACTAACTTCTTGTACCCACATAAGAAAGTCAACATATTGACTTACAGAATCAGAAAACATGAGTTCTAAGGTTATCTTGTCTATTTGGATTCCTAATTTTAACATTTGATGATTCTAGTTTACTTCCCAAGTTCTCTGTCATTTATCTTTTACTGTTTCAAGTATAAAACAAATATCACTTTCTACTAAAATTTTTTAAAAATATCACTTTCTAGTTCATTAGGTATGTCAGTTGCAATCACTTGTTATCTTCTTAAAAAATACTGCTACAGGCAAATTTATACATTTTCTTTTGTCATATTTATTACTGTCTACCTTTCC